GGTCCTAGAGAGCCGCAGTCCTGCAGAGTTCAGCTCCAACCCTGAAAAAAAACCTCACCTGCCTATAGCCTTAGTAATCCTGAAGACATTGATTAGCTTGTTCAGGTGTGTTTGATTAGGGTTGGAGCTAAACTCTGCAGGACTGCGGCTCTCTAGGACCGAACTTGCCTACCCTTGTCCTATCCTAACAAACCAAACATCAATGGAAAGCTTATTTATTCAGACTCCAGATGATGTATAAATCTAAATTTCAATAAATTGACCCTTAAGGCTTGTTTTTGTGGTCCAGGGTCACATTTGTGTTTGTCTGTGTAGCCAACGACAGAACATTTAGCATGTTTTTCGTGAGCTTTTGCCTTGGCGTCTGAACAAGTACACCAGTGTCGCTTGCGAAAACAACAATGCCAGCTGAGCGCCGTGGATGGAAACGTGCAGATTAATGGGCGGTAATATTATAATAAGAACCCCTTCCTACGCAGGAGGGGGAGAGAAATCTGATCGGCTCATTTCCTCACATGCTTGCAGAGAAAGGCTTGCAAAACCAAACTTACTGGGTTCTTGTTTTTCACGTTTTCTGAGTTGGTAGATGCACCGGACACTCAATTATAGCACTTAAAAAGTCAGATTTTAATCTGATGAGCCCTTTAATCAAAAAGTAAAAACAGAAATATTGTGAAATATTAAAATAACTGTTTTCTATTTGAATACATTTAAAAATTTAATTTATTCCTGTGATGGTAAATGAATACTTTTTTTCAGCAAGGATGCACTAAATTTGTCATAAGTAACAGTAAAAACATTTTTTTTATTTTACAAAAATCCTGAAAAAAATGTATCAGTTTCCACAAAAATATTAAGCAGCACAACTGTTTTCAACACTGATAATACTAAGAAATGTTTCTTCAGCTTCAAATCAGCATATTAGAATGATTTCTGAAGGATCATGTGACACTGAAGACTGGAGTAATGATGCTGAAAGTTCAACTTTGCCATCACAGAAATAAATTACATTTCAAAATATATTAAAATAGAAAACAGTTATATTAAATTGTAATATTATTTTACAATATAACTGTTTTTACAGTATTTTTGATCAAATAAATGCAGCCTTTGTGAGCATAAGAGACTCCTTTCAAAAACATAAAAAATTTTTTTAATTATTCTTAAGTTTTGACTGCCAATGTATAGACATGACTTCAGTAACTTGAGTGTATTTTTTTTTTATGTCCTTAGGTTGGATTACTCTGGTATTGCGTTGTTAATCATGGGCTCATTCGTTCCATGGCTGTACTACTCGTTTTACTGCTCTCCTCAGCCGCGGTTCATCTATCTCTTTGTTGTATGTGTGCTGGGTGTTGCTGCTATCATTGTGGCCCAGTGGGACAGATTCGCCACCCCTCGGCACCGGTCCACACGTGCAGGTAATGCGCTCACCTGCTTCTCTAAATGTTCCACCTGCTTGATTGATTTCAGATGTTGCTTAAAACATTTTTCCTCGTACTTAGGTGTTTTCATGGGCCTTGGTCTGAGTGGGCTCATTCCCACAATGCATTTTACCATCGCAGAGGGTTTTGTGAAGGCAACGACAGTGGGTCAGATGGGCTGGTTCTATCTGATGGGTGCCATGTACATTAGTGGAGCATCACTTTATGCAGCACGGATACCTGAACGTTACTTCCCTGGCAAATGTGACATCTGGGTAAGACTCAAGGGAATCTTTGTTGCATGTAATATTGTAAAGCGGCCTAATAACATAATGTACATACAAGTATCCACCTTATTTTTTAACATAAGAGCGGGTGCATCCATTATTGAATTGAATGTGCAAGGCTTTCGGTATCATCTGTTTACAGTTATTTTAGCAGTACAAAAACAGTCTGTTATACTGCTTGATGCTGATGATATTGATTGAATTTTTTATCATAATCATAAATGCAAATTTATGTTTATTGCACTTTATTTTCCTAGTTATTTATCTATAGCGGCTAATGAAATGGAAGTCTCGCGTTGATTGAAAATAGCTTCCCTTTTGCACTGCAAAAACAGTTGGATACTCACGGTCTCTATCCGTTTTACTTTCTCAGTTTCAGTCTCATCAGATATTCCATGTGCTGGTTGTCGCGGCGGCATTTGTCCATTTTTATGGGATCTCAAACCTGCAGGAGTTCCGCTATGGCCTGGAAGGAGGCTGCACAGATGACACTCTGCTGTAAAAAAAAAAAGCAAAAAAATCACTTGAACTTTGGCTAGTGCCTGCTCACTTCACAATGAACCTGGATCCCACACAATGCAGATTTAAAGATTTTTATTATCTCTTGAAGGATTTTAACATATATTTAAATAAGGTGTTTATTTGTTAAGATGCTTAAAAGTCTTGATAAATGTGGTAGTCTTGTGTTTATATTGTTCTTTGCTATTTCAGTGCAGCACAGAATTTATTGTAAATCACTGGAATGAGTCATAAAGCATTACAGAGGTCTTAAGAGACTACCTCCTCCAGCGCTTTTTCTTCTGACTGTTTTCTGGTCTACTGGTTAGTGGTCCTGTACTTTAAGAGTTGTAGGGAAAACACATAGAACATGCTTAGGTCTCGGTTTTCTCAAACATGTCTGCATGATCATTCATTAACTTTTGATCTGAAATGCTTGACCCATAGCTTCAGCAGTGGGATACAAGTTGGGAAAAATTTTATCTTTTGTTTGAGTGAATCAGGGTTTCAGTCAAAATACTTGCACTGGTTTTAGAAGTCAAAATATTTAAAAAGCAAAATAAAGATGAAACGGCTAGAATTGCTTGCTTCATTAATAGTGTTTTTTTTGTTTGTTTTTTACTTTTTGGTATGTGAAAAAAGATGTATGTGTGTGTATATATATATATTTCACCTCCAAGATCGTCTGAGACCAGCCACCCGGACAGCTGATGCCATGAACCATGCCCTCTATTCAATATTCCGTTTCAGCTGGAAATAGGTCACTACACTGAAATAAAGTCGGCAGCAACTTCCGGTTCACGTAGACTTTAACAATAACAAAACTAGAAGAATAAAGACTACAACTACAACCTCTTCGAGGGCTAATAAATTGCTAAAGACTACAACTTAGTCCAATTTTTCAAGCACTTAAATTCACACCCTGGTGATAGTCCTAGTTTAGTTGTAGTTATTTAGCAACTTTTTAACTACTTAAAACAGCGCACGTTTCAGCACACAGTTGCATTGTTTTATGAAACAGTATATATTATAATGTATTTATCATAAAAAAGGTTTTTTTTTTTATTAAAATGAAGGTCAGAATCTGATTTGAGATGGCAGTGAGCAAACGCGCGAGCACGGGCCTTACAGTGCGCACGCGCGCTGGTGACGTCGCAGTGTTTTGCTGGGGATGCGCGCGCACGTGAGCGCTGTTCTTTTCGTTGCTGGAGTAAAATTAATTCAGTTCACACCTGCGAGGGTCTCCCTGTGAGGGGTGCAAGCAGATGTCCAAATAGACCGCCGTGTGCTGTCATCCAGTCCTGGTCCGTTCTGTTCAGCTGTGGATCCGCTGTACGCTGTGAGTTCAAATGGTGATGTTTATGTGTGGGTTAGCATACCATTTCAGTTAGCTTTAGCATGTAGCCTCATCTCACCTCTGTGAGTCTTAAACTCTCACCTGATTTACAACAACACGTTCAGATGAAGTTATACTGATAAAATAATATTAAATACTAATAAATTATTCTTGTTTCCCGTATATAGTAATACACAGGTGTAGCTTAGTGCCCATCACAGCCTACAGGTAGACCTATTCTAAAACATTATTTTTATGTATCTATATTATCGCGTTATTAAATTTGAGAAAAAAGTCCCTTTCTTTTTAAGAAGCCACTGAAAAGGTTGTTATTTCCAAAAGGATGCGCAATGAGCTGTTTCATTGAGAATCCATAATTTAATAATTTCACTGTTTATTGTTTTTTTCATTTGTCTTTTTGAATTTCTTCCTGTGATTTCTTAGGAAGATCTTTTTGGTTAATACGTTTTAAAAGTAACATTCTCAACAAATGGCAATGTACAGCGGTCAGCTTTTAAGCTACAATACAGATAAAGACATAGACAAATATGATATTATACCTGATATTAAAGGAATAGTCCAACCGAAAATTAAATTTCTGTTATCATTTACTTGCCCTCATATCGTTTAAACCCATATGACCTTCTTTCTTCTGTTGAACATAAAAGTATATGTTTTGGAGAATATTGGTAACCAAAATGTTTCGATTCCCATTAATTTTCATTCATGGACAAAAAATACAATGGAAGTCTAAGGGAACCAAAACTTAAAATTCAAACTCAAAATATCCTCTTTTATGTGCCACTGAAGAAAGAATATCATATGGGTTTGAATTTTGTGTGTACTCTGGATCAGCTGTGCTGGTCACTGATTAATTGTGTCCTACAGAAATCATCATCCTGCAGTGCCTGAGGTTTTGTCACTCCACCCCGCCTCCTGTCATCATGGCACCCAAGGACATCATGACCAATTCGCATGCCAAATCCATCTTGAATGCCATGAACTCCCTGAGAAAAAGCAACACGCTGTGCGATATCACTCTGAGGGTGGAGGGCACAGATTTCCCTGCCCACCGCATCGTGTTGGCTGCCTGCAGTGATTATTTCTGTGCCATGTTCACCAGTGAGGTAACAAATACCTCCTATATGCACACTCATCACTCACATGTTACAATGTGGTCTCAACTGGAGCAGTCTGTTCACCAATTATGTGTCTAAAAATGCTCTCATTGTATTAAAAAAAAAAAATGTATGGGGTCTTGACATGCTAGTTAGCAGGCAAGCTTCAACGTGTTGAGCTGTAGAGCTTGTTCAGAGTTAAAGTTCAAATCTTGCTTATGATCGTGCTTCTCCTCATCATTTCCTGTCCTCTCTTCTAATCCATATCAATAAAATTGGCACAAAGGTTAAAAAAAAAATCTAACTTTGTTGCAGTTCTGCTCCTTCACAGTAGGAGGTGCAGGCAGTCTCTTTTATTCTCAGACATGCTGAAGTTGGTTCAGAGTTACTAGAGTGAACACAACCCTTAATTATATAATATTTTCCGGTATTCTCTTTTGAATAGTCAAACAATCCAAAGAAAGCATCATTAAAACAAAAAGAGAAGTCCCTTACAAAATAAGATTGAATTAACACTAAAAAGTCTGACCAAAATTTTTCTGTGTAGGAGCATTGCCAGTTGGTAAGCAGATATCTATGAGGCAAGGTCCATACTTTCTCCCAAGGTATATTCTCCACAATGCTATTCCAATAAGGTATTATGTAAGGAATTGTTGTTTTCTCTCTCTGAAAAAAGAGCTCTAATTTTATAGTTATTTTTTTGTTGAGCTGTAGAAAAGCAAACACTTCCGATCATTGTGTCAGAGTGCAAGTACATGGCCATGGAAGTGTAGTACCTTGCCACTGAAAAGACACACCAGAGGGAATGGTATTGAAAACAACAGCATATTCATCAGCAGATACAGGAATATTATATTTCTGTAAGAAATCCGAATAGTTGTAAAGTCAGCCTTGTGAATTAAAAAGCTGTCCAACTAAAAGAAGATTGTTTTCGAACCAGTTGTCAAAGAAAAGTGATTTATTCTTGTAAAGAATATCCTTATTGTTCCATAAATAATATCTGTGCGGAGAAAAGTTGTGTTTGTATATTAAGGACCAGGCCAAGAGCATCTACTTATGGAAATTAGAAAGTTTGATAGGGATTTTTAAAACATTATAATTACAAAGTAATAGGAAATTCAGGCCACCAACTTTAGAGAAAATCTAAGTTGGGATAAAATTCCAAAGTGAGGAGGGATTTTTAAGGAAATTCTTAAGCCAATTAATTTTAAAAGTATTATTTAAGGTAGTAAAATATACAAAATCCAGTCCCCTCTGTTTTGTTGGGTTAATTATTACAGATTTCCTAATATAGTGAGTTTTATTTTTCCAAACAAAATTGTTTAACATGCTATCAATTCTTTTTAATGTTCCTTTATCAACCTCCAAGGAAAGAGCAGCATAAGTCAGTCGAGACAATCCATCGGCTTTAGAGAGTAAAATTCTTCCTCTTATTGATAAAGCTCTCTGCAGCCGCAAGTTAAGTTTTCTTTGGGTTGGACTATTAGAGGGTCCAAATTTAGATTACGTCTTGTTTTTTGGTCTTTATTAATTAAAATTCCTAAGTATGTAACTTGATCTTTCACAGGAATGTTACATATAGAGGAAAGATCACAGCGTTTGATTGACATTAACTCACATTTGTTGATATTCAGGCAGAGACCTGAAGCTCTGGAAAAGGACTCAATCAAACTCAAAGCAAAAGGGATTTGGGAGACGTCATTCAAAAATAAAGTAGTATCGTCAGCCAGCTGGCTAATAATAATTTGTCTATCGTCAATTGTGATACATTGTAAATTATTAGTGGAAATATGCAGAGCTAAGAACTGAAAGGCAAGTAAGAATAGATATGGAGATATAGGACAGCCTTGTCTTACTCCACGTGACAAATCGAATCTTGGTGAGGTTCCGAATTTTAACTTAATAACACTATTATTATTTCTGTATAAGGTCCTGATGGCTTTACAGAAATAGTCTCCAAACCCAAATTTGAGTGAACACAACACGTGCTGTCAAGCTAGATGCAAACTAATTGATGAAAATGTTGTCACCCATCTCTATTGGTACAATGTAAGAAAAATTGTGTTATAGGAATATATATTAAATGATGATAACAGTAGTGGTTTTTAGATTAATAGATTATTGCAGAAAATAAGCTCTGTGACTATCAAAAGTTTATTATTCCTAAGACTAGGATACACTACATGACTTTTAAAATCTGAACAGATTTTAAAGGGGTCATATGATGTTGCTAAAAAGAACATTATTTTGTGTATTTGGTGTAATGAAATGTGTTTATGCAGTTTAAGGTTAAAAAAACACATTATTTTCCACATACTGTACATTATTGTTTCTCCTCTATGCCCCGCCTTTCTGAAACACGTCGATTTTTACAAAGCTCCTACAATACTACAGCGAGAATAAAAGTTAGCCTTCTTTCTTTGCTTGAACATTTGGGCGGCGTTATGCAAATCTTCCCAGATAGTGACGTAGGTATGTGGGGGTGTGTTAGAACGAGCCGTTTTAGGTAGGCGTGGTTGACTCTTAACTTTTATAAAGAATATCTCTTTGGATTTGAGACTTTAGTCTTTGCAACTTTACAGATCTTCTTTATGCACCAA